GTGGTTCATCAAGGCATTTAACAAAGTATGTTCTGATATTCTTGTAGATAATATCTTATACAGTATAGTTTAAAAGTGATTTTAGATGCATTTTCTTACTTAAGAAACATGGACTAGATGAGAGTAGAGTCTGGCTGAATGACCCCATGCATTCGGGGAGTGTCTAGTGATTCACTGCAGTATGTCGACCATGAACTTGTCCTGTTCAACATATTTATTAATGACCTGGACGAACATGTAGAATGCACGCTCACCACATCTATGGATGACATAAAGCTACCAGGGATACTTAATATGTTAGATGACAGCATTACAATTTTTTAAAAAGTGATTTCAACAAGCCGGACTAGGCCAATATCAACAAGACTTAATTTACTTGGGATAAATGTAAAGTCCTGTCTTTGGGTTCAAAAAGTCAACTGTATTGCAAGTCATATGATAAAGACCTGGGGGATGTGGCTGACCACAAGTTCACTATAACAAACAGTCTGAACTCATTAATAAAAAGCTAACTCAATCTTTTACTTTATTAATGGAAGCATAGGGAGGTAATAACTGGTTAGACCACATTTGGAATACTGTGTGTAATTCCGGCTGCCAGATTTTTAAAAGGGAACATAACACGCTAGAGTGTTCACATAGGGTAACTGTGGTGATGGGTGTGGAAATTGCATTTACTGAAGGAATGATTCAAGGAACCAGAAATGTTTGGCCTGGATAAGGGAACACTTAGGAAAGATGTTGGAGCTGCCTTCAAATAATTGTAGCGTTGCTGTATTTGAGGGGAAATAAACAGTCTGTGATGTCCCAGACGGCAAAACAAAGATGAATGAACGGATGCTACAAAGTAATAGTAATAGTTTTCAGATTGATACAAGAGAAAATTTCTCATAGCCACCACTGGATAAGTTATGACTATTATACTGGGAGCCTTCTGGGGTGAGATGTCATGGAAGGGATTCTTGCATTAGGTAAATGGGGAGATTAGAAAATCTCTTCTAACCTGTGCTTTGATGAACTTTCAGGCAGCTAGTATTTGTAGCCAGGGCAAGACTTCAGAGGACAGACAAGTGGCCCGAGCCTGGTGTAGGAAAAACAGGACTGGACCACATGGGAGCAGATTTAGGCTCCAGCTTGCTCCTGCTTAGTTGTAAGTCACCTAGCTGATTCCTCTTTAAGCCTCAAATCTCTCATCAGTAAATAAACATAAAAATTATCACCCTATCTTAGAATTTTTGCAGTGATCAAAGGTTTTATCTTCCCTTTACTGCATTTATTGGTTACTCAAGTCCTTGAAGGCAGGAATTATGCCTTATTTAGGGCAAAGGGCTTGGCACCTGATAGGTCCTCAGTAAAACTTTGAACAAATGAATAAAATAATGGAGACTGTGCCTGTGAAAACACTTGGTAAATGGCACAGAGCTGTAGAAACATGAAGGACTATCATTCTCTCCTCCCTACAAAACAATCCATTTGCGAAGAAACAGCAGTGACAATGACCTGACTATGAACGTCTGTTAAGAGTCAAAGATCATGAGAATTTAATGGATCTTTTCAGAAGGGAATTTACCTGCAAAGGGATCATTTTAATTCACTTTCTGGGGTTCAAACTACTCACTCTTTGCAGTTCAATGGCTCAGCAAGTACTTTTCATAATGCAATGACTTCCCATGACTCATAAGATAAAAACCAAAATCCTTGATAGGACCCACGGGGCCTTGCCAGGTTTGGTCTCTCATTGCCTCACCAGCTCCCTCTCCTACCCTCTGTCATCTGGTGCTACAGCCGCACTGGCATTTAGTTCCCTAAAAGGACCACGTGCCCTCTGAACACTGAAGCTTCAAACATATTGCTCTTTCTACCTAGAAAGATTCCCTACTCTCTTGTCTAGGGAGAGCCTGTTCACCTTGAAGACACAGAGACAAGGTCTCTCCATCAGACACCCTTCTTGACCTCTCAAACTTGTCTGCTGTACACCCACATAGCACAACTGTACCTTTCCTGCATAGCTCCTCATAGTGCTTATAATACAACTACCCATGAGATTACTTATTATCTATCTCCTCCACATGTAAACTTGAGGGCAGGGGCTGTGCTCCATTTTTGTTCAGTATATTTTACATGGTGCCAGTACCAAGTTATAATGTCTGGCATACATTAGGAACTCAGTATTTGTTGACTGAATGAATGAAGCAGGCTTCTCAATGTTGTTGGTAGTTAAGTGGTAACTACTATGTTTTATTTGTTCCTTGTTTTGACTTTTTCAAAATAACATTGCCTAATTCTGACAAAAATAGTTTCTGAGTATCAGAAATTAAAATCCTATACACTATGATAGGAGTCTGAACTATTTTCCTGGTAGGATCAAAATTATGACTTAAAATTATCGGTGTAAACTTACTTTTATGACTTTATTTATTGAGCACCTAAAGACTGTTTTTGTCCTAAAGTCAGCCTACCACCAACTATCAAATCATGCGTATGAGCACCAGGTGCCACCTTCAGGTCTCTGGTTGAATAACCGTGAGATGTCTTCTGACCAGGTGTGAGCCAAGGATCCAACCCCCAAAAGCACGCAGCAACTTTACAATCAGTATTCTGCAGCCTACATGTGAGCAGGTCTTCTCAATAACTCTTGGTCCAAAGAATACTCTGTGAGATTATACAACTCCTCTGTGCATATTTCCTCATGCAATCCATTTCAAAATTCTACAACATGAGACTATCTTATCTACACAACGGAAGCAGAGGGCTTGACTGAAAAAAGTTAAAGGAGTTTTCTTCCTTGCAGCATAATGGGCGTTTTATGGTGTTTTGATTTTGCTTGTTAGGTCAGCTTTGAAATACACAGACCAAGGGCTGAGGAAGGTTCCTGGAAGACAAACTCCCTCCTCCAGAAGGACTGCTCCTTCCTTTCATCAGAGGACACAGCTCCCTTTGCTCCCCAGTGATTTATATACCCTGGGATATTACTGAGGAGATGTCGGTGAGGGTCTGAAACAAATCTTCCTCCAGAGTAGGAAGTAAACCATGGTCTGCAGGACATATGGCACACAGCTTCTAAAAGATTAATGGGAACATGAGATTGCTGGGTCCTCAGACCACAATGATAAGGGTGTTGGAAAGAGCACCTCCTCTTAGCTTTGAAGTATCCCTGACTACAAAGTTTTGAGGAAATTTAGAGTGAATGGGAATCCCCAAAATAAGGTTTGACAGGAAGAATGTCTATCGTAAAGAATTCCTAAGTCAAATATAAGCAGGATTTCAAAAATCTTTAAACCCAGACAGGGGAGTTCAGGGACCCCCGAGAAGCTTGCAATATTTATTTTGTAAATTAATGAGACTGGGAGCATCTTCTGAGGCTGCATAGATCCCGTGGGTTTTCACTGTTCAGCCCCTGAGCACAGCTGACAGAAAGCACACCCCTGAGTAGTTTGTGGCCACTACAAATGCAGGTCTCCAGGGTGAGTGTGGCCCTCCAGGCCACTCAGCCATCCCTTCCTCTGTCTCCAGCCAGGTCCTTCACCAGTTTCCACAGCTATTGCTCTTCCCAGACCCCTCCCTTTTTCCTTCTCCCCCTTAGCAGATCAGTCATTCCACACTTCACAAATACACTTCACAGGGGCTTTAAAGAAATCTTGAGATGAGAAAGAATGTGCCAGGAGGACTGGGAAAGAGGGGTGGCAAGGAGTTTCATGTAAGGAAACAGCATGCATTGTGCTCAGAGCACTGGCTTTGCAGTCCGGTGAATCTGGATAAAATTCCAGGCCTTTTGCTTCCACTACATGCAAATTAGACCTAGGTACTTCTGGAGGTCTTAGTTTCTACTTCTCCCTCCGTGGAGATGATAGTCCCTAACTTATATGGCTGTTGTCACGGTTAGATGAGAATGAATGTAAAGTGCTTAGAACAATGCCTCGTATGGAGTAAGTGATTATTCAATGATAACCATTATTATTACTGCAAATGCATTTATAACTTTAATATGTGGTTTGTCACCATTACAGTAGCCTACCTCAGAAGCTTGTTGCAAAGACCAAATGAACTAATAAATGTGAAAGAACTTTTTAAAAAAGTATGGCACAATATTATTCACTCATAAAAACAAATGACGTTCTGATCCATGCTAAAACATGAACGAACCTTGAGAACATTATGCTAGGTGAAATAAGCCAGACACAAAAGGATACATATTTTATGATTCTACTTATCTGAGATGCTTAGAGCAGGCAAATTCATGGAGACAGAGACAAAGAAGAAGAGAGCTACCAGGGGTTGGAGGAGGGGAGAATGGGAATTACTGCTTACTGGGTACAGAGTTTCTGTTTGAAATGATAAAGAAGTTTCAGAAATAGTGGTGATGGTTATACAACACTGTAAGTATATTTAATGCTACTAAATTACACACTAACAAACGGTAAATTTTAAGTCCAGAAGAAAGGAAATGCTAAGTTCTTATGCTATTTTCAACAAAATTAGTATCACTAACATCCAGACGAAGACAGAAACAAATTAAGACATTTTATCTGCTCAGGTTTGTAAACCTACTTCTATTTGTGGGGTTTTATGTAATAAAACTTCCATTTGTGGGGTTTTATGTAATAAAAATTAGTAATTTTAAAATACACATATTTATCCTAGTAATACACAAAAGAGGATTTGTATTATGACTATGCAAAAATCTGTACAGCTGAACTATGTTCTATCTAAATAAGCCTAACAATTTGATTTCCATTTTGACCTTGGATTAGATCCAAGATGGGCCTGCTTTTACTAAGTGCTCCTCTCTAGTCAATGGTTTTATAGTCTACTTTGCAGATACATGCTTGAGTTTGAGAATTTATAACTTAATGAGGATGTAAAAATGGATTGACATGCTCTTTCACACAAAGAAAAGATGTTCAGCATCTAGAAAATTACGTTTAAAAGTAGGCAACCAACAAAACCTCAGAAAAGGACATTTTTCTTTGGGTCTTGGCAGGAACACACGGCTCACTGACCTGTGTTCCCTGACTGTTGATGTCGATGGCATCACTCCACTCAGTTGTTACTTCATCTAGCAGTTCAACTCTCAAAAGGAGGCTCGGAAGTAAGTCTTTGGTCTTGCAGTCCGGATAACTGGAAATCTGATGATACAGCTCATGATGAATTGAGCACTCGGAGGGAATTTTTTTGCAATAAACCTCAAACTTTGGAATATCTGAAATTTAAAAAAAGGCATATCAGAATTAGCCCTTAAAGACAGAGACTTGGGGGACAGTAAACATAATGTGGCAAAAGAAACTTCTCAAAAAGAGATGATTAATACATCTATTTAAATATTTTTTTCACAGGATCACAGGTAACTACTAAACCAAAAAACCCCAGAAAAAAAATACACATTTAGTATTATCTAAATTCGACATTATAAAACATACCTTTAATGTTTTCCTTTATAAGCACTGTTACTGGACATCTGTTGTGGATAATTACTCGAGGACTAGGGTCTTCTGAGAGGGTTAAGTAAGTCACTCCAAGGTGTTCTTGATATGTCAGCACTATAGCCCTAGAACAGAATCAAGTCAAATGACAGATATGCTTAGGAAAAAAAATGAATGCTTTCTCTCCTGGAACATGTTTATTTAATTTGCAACATTCAGAACTTGAAAATATCTTTTTTATAACTGAGGGGAGCTTTCTTTTCTGACAATAGTAACATATTTATAATATTCATAAAATGTGAAAACATACTTAAAGGCAAACAAAATAATTCTATCATCCAGAGAGAACTATAGCTAACCTTGTGCTAATATTTCCTGTTGTTCTTTTTCCCCCCAATGCATATGTGTGTTAAACTCCTTAGCCAGGCAGGGTACCTTCTTCTTCCTTAAAAGTGCTTGGTAGTCTGTGCATGGTGGCTCACGCCTATAATCCCAGCACTTTGGGAGCCAAGGCAGGAGGATTGCCTGAGCCCAGGAGTTCAAGACCAGCTTCAGCAAAAGGGCAAAACCCCATCTCTACAGCAAAATACAAAAATTAGCCAGGTGCGATGGTGCACACCCGGCTACTTGGAAGGCTGAGGTGGGAGGAGGATGGCTGGAGCCTGGGAGGTTGGCTTAAGCCTGGGAGGTTGAGGATGCAGTGAGCCATGATTGTGCCACTGCACTCGAGCCTGGGCGACAGAGCAAGACCCTGTATAAAAAAAAAAAAAAAAAAAAAAAAAAAAAAGAGCTGACCTGCTTTTCAAAGGACTACTAGAGAATTTGGGTGCTTGCTCTTTTTTCTAAAGGTAGGCGGGCTGATAATGTTTGCTGTCAATTTCCATAAGCCCATCACACCTTAAAAAATGTACATTTTGATTAGCAGGAGCAAAGCTGTATTATTTGGAGTTAGAAAACCAACTGTGTGAGTACAGGTTGCCTTCTGTGATGAAGAGAGAGAAATTTTCCTATTTAGATTACAGACTACCACAAAGAATATTTCATTGAAGCAGGAAAAAAAAAATTACCCTGAAGCCTAAATTACATGGAATGATTGTTAAAATTAATCAAAGAAATCAGATAATTTGCCAAATGTGGCCCTCAGCTGACTAAAAGGGGTCAATAATGCTCTAAAAAGCTTCCATTTGCCATCCATCTTATTTGCCAGTGTGAGTACTTCCCAAAGATTGTATTTGTGTGAAATGTCAAAGGGAATGGTCCTTTAGCATTTGGTAAAAGCACATTAATACCACCATCTAATGTGTGCTATTGGTTGAATTGAGGGAAGGAAATAGATGAGGAGATGGGACAGCACGAAATAAATTCATTTTCAGAGTACAGTTCTTGGATAAACAGCAAAGTTCCTTTCCCAGCCTAATTTTAAAAGAGCTACACGAGCCAACCTCAGATAATTTCTTTTTGATAGCCAAGAAGGCTGGGGCCAGGACTCAAGTATGGTACTTTCTGTCCAATATCTAGCTTAGTATTTATAGATAAGATTAAATTATACTGTAATTATCAGAATTTTAAGCTTAATTTCCAAATTAAGTTTAGTTTCAAATTTTGTTTTTTAAAAAATGTTTTCTTTATAGACATAAGTTCATATAACTTTCAAAAACACCCTTAAACTCACTATGCTTAACATCTCCAACCAGAATGTAAGGATAACCACTCCTCTACAGTGTAAGAGATGACAAATGTTTGTAAAATCAAGGATTTTGTGAATACTGTGAAAGAAGGAGGGATGTGTGAAGAACAGAACCTTGCCATTATGAATAACTTATTTAAAATATTACTATTATAAATCTCTCTTGTCTTTTAAAATGTTATATCAAAAGAGTTAGCATTGCTAAAATCTCAAAGCCTATAAATTCATAATCATGAAAATAAGGTACTTCTCATAAGGGCACAATATGTTTTCTTTTGCAGCTGTTACATATACCATAAATAAGTTATTCTTGAGAGCTGCAGAAGGGACATTTTACATGCAAAACAACCAAATAATAGAAGTCCAGTATGAACAAACCATTATACATCTCTGGCTTGATTCTGTGGTTGTTATTTGCATAACTGGTAATCGGTCATTGGAGCAACTTGCGTGCAGGAACAACCACAGAACAGAGTCTTCTGTGACTTGTGTTTATCTAAGTTATCTCTCTTAATGACTTTTTGAGAAAAATTCCATTTTGAAGTAAAGTAAAATATGGGAGAAGAAAAAGGTTTTCCAACTTGACTTGCTCATATTTTAACCCTTATTTCCTATAATTTTATGGAGGCTAAGAACTCACAACAGGTAATTTTTTCATTATGATATGATCTTTTCATACGATGCTATTTGTATGATCATACATATGATCTTTTCATATAATGACATTCTGTGGTACAAGTACCATCATTTCCCCCCAGCGTAAGCTCCATAAGGGGAAAAATCTCTTAAGTAGTATGCTGGGACAAGCCATATGTGATCACAACACTTGACTGACTGTATACAATGTCTAGAAGTCATTAAAAATAAAGCCTAGTATTACATATGGGGAGCACTACAACCATTCTCTCTCTCGGCATCTAGATGAACAGCTAGACTGACAAGCAAAGAAGAAAGACATTTATACAAACATAAAATACCTGGTACAGAATCCATTTTCCCGGAAATTCCCAAGGGGTACTGCCACACTCTGTCTGGGAAACTCTGGTCTAACTATAGCTGGCAGGCTCCAGCACTGTGAGCTGTCAGCACCTGGGGCAGGAGAAAAGCCCAGCATGATCTGTTTCTGAAGCAGGGATGCATCCAGCACTGACTGACTAATGGCAGGCATCAAGTCCCAGCAAGGAAGGGAGCTGGATTTCATAGCAGGCTGCTCTCCACCTGGGCAAATGCTAAAAGTAGCACTGTCTGGAACATGAAAATACTGAAAAAAAAAAAAAAATGCAGAGAGCACATTAGCTACAGTAATACAGCAGAATTAGACTTTTAAAAGCATATCTTCTTTTCTTTTCTTTTTTTTGAGACAGTCTCACTCCATCACGCAGGCTGGAGTACAGTGGCACCATCTCGGCTCACTGCAGCCTCTGCCTCCCGGGTTCAAGCAATTCTCATGCCTCAGTCTCCCAAGTAGCAGGGACGACAGGCAATGCCACCACGCCCGGCTAATTTTTGTATTTTTAGTAGAGATGGGGTTTCACTATGTTGGCCAGGCTGGTCTCAAACTCCTGACCTCAAGTGATCCACCCACGTCAGCCTCCCAAAGTGCTGGGATTATAGGTGTGAGCCACCACGCCCGGCCCCGTAAAGCACATCTTCTAAGACACCATCTATAACTATGTATTTTCAGAAAAAGGCTGGGTTGGGGACATGGGAATATTATGAATCCTGTTTCCATGAGAATGTCCCAATGAAAAAATTAGAAGCAGTGAGAACACCATGGATGCTCAAGTCCGTTATACAAAATGGCGTAGTACTTGTACATAACCGTGCCATCCTTCAGTATAATTTAAGTAATCTCTGTATTACTTGTAATACTTGATAACATATAAATGCTATGTAAACAATTGTTATATTGTATTTTAAAATGTGTATTTTAAAATAGTAGTATTGTCAGTTTATTTTTTCCTGAATATTTTTGTCCATGTTTCGTGGAATCCATAGCTATGGAACCTACGGAGACAGAGCGCTGACTTTAGCACAATGCATTATAAGCTTAAAAGTATAAGACTTTTATCCTATTTGATTAATTTAATATAATTTTTAGGAGCTGAAAGTAGGAGGTAAAAGGGCAGACAAAGGTAAAGAAAGATAATACTTTCCTATAAGACAGTTTCAATAGCATAAAACAATAACATATCACTTAACATTTTCTGTTTTTAAGTTCTCTTAAAACCTCTCCTTATGGCTGGGTGCCAGTGGCTTATGTCAGTAATCCTAGCAATTTGGGAGGCTGAGGCAGGTGGATCATGAGGTCAGGAGTTTGAGACCAGCCTGGCCAACATGGTGAAACCCCATTTCTGCTAAAAATACAAAAATTAGAGGGAGTGGTGGTAGACACCTGTAATCCCAGCTACTCATGAGGATGAGGCAGGAGAATCGCTTGAACCCAGGAGGCAGAAGTTGAAGTGAGCTGAGATCGTGCCATTATACTCCAGCCTGGGTGGCAGGACGAGACTCCATCTCAAAAACAAACAAACAAACAAACAAACGAACAAACAAACAAACAAACAGAAAACTGATTCCTGGGCAAGTTGGCTGAATAGGAACAGCTCCGGTCTGCAGCTCCCAGCGAGATCAACACAGAAGGCGGGTGGTTTCTGCATTTCCAGCTTAGGTATGTGGCTCATCTCACTGGGACTGGTTAGACAGTGGGTACAGCCCAAGGAGGGTGAGCAGAAGCAGGGTGGGGAGTTGCCTCACCTGGGAAGCACAAGGGATCAGGGAACTCCCTCCTCTAGCCAAGGGAAGCCATAAGGGACTGTGCCGTGAGGGACGGTGCTATCTAGCCCAGATACTATGCTTTTCCCAGGGTCTTTGCAACCCACAGACCAGGAGATTCCCTCCGGTGCCTATACCACAAGGGCCTTGGGTTTCAAGCACAAAACTGGGCAGCCGTTTGGGCAGATACCGAGCTAGCTGCAGGAGTTTCATTTTGTACACCAGTGGCGCCTGGAATGCCAGCGAGACCGAATCATTCACTCCCCTGGAAAGGGGGCTGAAGCCATGGAGCCAAGTGGTCTTACTTAGCGGATCCCACCTCCACGGAGCCCAGCAGGCTGAGAACCGCTGGCCTGAAATTCTCACTGCCAGCACAGCAGTCTGGAGTCGACCTGGGATGCTCGAGCTTGGTCGGGGGAGGGGAATCCACCATTACTGAGGATTGAGTAGGCAGTTTCCCCTCACAGTGTAAACAAAGCCTCCAGGAAGTTCGGACTGGGAAGAGCCCACCACAGCCCCGCAAAGCCACTGTGGCCAGAGTGCCTCTCTAGATTCCTCCTCACTGGGCAGGGCATCTCTGAAAGAAAGGCAGCAGCCCTAGTCAGGGGCTTATAGATCAAACTCCCATCTCCCTGGAACAGAGCACCTGGGGGAAGGGGCGGATGTGGGCGTAGCTTCAGCAGACTTAATCATTACTGCCTGCCAGCTCTGAAGAGAGCAATGAATCTCCCAGCACAGTGATCAAGCTCTGTTAAGGGACAGACAGCCTCCTCAAGTGGGTCCCTGACCCCTGAGCCTCCTGATGTGGAGACACCTCCCAGCAGGGGTCAACAGACACCTCATACAGGAGAGCTCCAACTGGCATCTGGTGGGTGCCCCTCTGGGATAAAGCTTCCAGAGGAAGGAACAGGCAGAAATCTTGCTGTTCTGCAGCCTCTGCTGGTGATACCCAGGCAAACAGGGTCTGGGGTGGACCCCCAGCAAACTCTAGCAGAACTGCAGAAGAGGGGCCTGATTATTAGAAGGAAAACCAATAAACAGAAAGCAATAGCATCAACATCAACAAAAAGGACAAGCACGCAAAAACTCCATCGGAAAGTCACCAGCATCAAAGACCAAAGGTAGATAAATCCATGAAGATGAGGAAAAACCAGCACAAAAAGGCTGAAAATTCCAAAAACCAGAATACCTCTTCTCCTCCAAAGGATCACAACTCCTCACCAGCAAGGGAACAAAACTGGATGGAGAATGAGTTTGACAAAATGACAGAAGTAGGCTGCAGAAGGTGGGTAATAACAAACTCCTCTGAGCTAAAGGATCATGCTCTAACCCAATGCAAGGAAGTTAAGAACCTTGATGAAAGGTTAGACGAATTGCTAACTAGAATAACCAATTTAGAGAAGAACATAAATGACCCGATGAAGCTGAAAAAAACAGCATGAGAACTTTGAGAAGCATACACAAGTATCAACAACCGAATTGATCAGGTGGAAGAAAGGATATCAGAGATTGAAGATCAACTTAATGAAATAAAGCATGAAGACAAGATTAGAGAAAAAAGAATGAAAGGAACAAACAAAGTCTCCAAGAAATATGGGACTATGTGAAAAGACCAAACCTACATTTGATTGGTGTACCTGAAAGTGACGTGGGAGAAAGGAACCAAGTTGGAAAACACACTTCAGGATATTATCCAGGAGAACTTCCCCAACCCAGCAAGACAGGCCGACATTCAAATTCAGGAAATACAGAGAACACCACAAAGATACTCCTCAAGAAGAGCAACCCCAAGACACATTATCGTCAGATTCACCAAGGTTGAAATGAAGGAAAAAATGTTAAGGGCAGCCAGACGGAAAGATGAGGTTACCCACAAAGGGAAGCCCATCAGACTAACAGCAGATTTCTCTGCAGAAACCCTACAAACCAGAAGAGAGTGGGGGCCAGTATTCAACATTCTCAAAGAAAATGTTTCAATCCAGAATTTTATATCCAGCCAAACTAAGCTTCATAAGTGACGGAGAAATAAAATCCTTTACAGATGAGCAAATGCTGAGGGATTTTGTCACTACCAGGCCTGCCTTACAAGAGCTCCTGAAGGAAGCACTAAATATGGAAAGGAAAAACCAGTACAAGTCACTGCAAAAACAAACCGAAATGTAAAGACCATCAACACTATGAAAAAACTGCACCAACTAATGGGCAAAATAAACAGCTAGCATCATAACGACAGGATCAAATTCACACATAACAATATTAACTTTAAATGTAAATGGGCTAAATGCCCCAATTAAAAGGCACAGAGAATGAATTGGATACATAGTCAAATTGGATAAAGAGTCAAGACCCATTAGTGTGCTGTATTCAGGAGACCCCCATCTTCATCGTGGCAAACGACCCATAGCGCTCAACAAATAAACGGGAATGGAGGAATATTTACCAAGCAAATAGAAAGCAAAAAAAAAAAAAAATAAAATAAAAATAAAATAAAAGCAGGGGTTGCAATCCTATCTCTGATAAAATATAGACTTTAAACCAACAAAGATCAAAAAACACAGAGACAAGGGCATTACATAATGGTAAAGGGATCAATGTAAGTAGAGCTAACTATCCTAAATATATATGCACCCAATACAAGAGCACCCAGATTCATAAACCAACTTCTTAGAGACCTACAAAGAGACTTAGACTCCCACATAATAATAGTGGGAGACTTTAACACCCACTGTCAATATTAGACAGATTAATGAGACAGAAAATTGACAAGGACATTCAGGACTTGAACTCAGCTCTGGACCAAGTAGACCTAATAGACATCTATAGCACTCTCTACCTCAAATCAACAGAATATACATTCTTCTCAGCACCACCTAGCACTTATTCTAAAATTGACCACATAATTGGAAGGAAAACACTCAACAAATGCAAAGAAACAGAAATCACAACAAACAGTCTCTCAGACCACAGTGCAATCAAATTAGAACTCAGCATTAAGAAACTCACTAAAATCTACACAACTACATGGAAATTGAAGGACCTGCTCCTGAATGACTACTGGGTAACTAACGAAATTAAGGCAGAAATAAATGAGTTCTTTGAAACCAGTGAGAACAAAGACACAATGTACCAGAATCTCGGGGACACAGCTAAAACACTGTTAAGAGGGAAATTTATAGCACTAAATTCCCACATCAGAAAATGGGAAAGATCTAAAATTGACACCCTAACATCACAGTTAATAGAACTAGAGAAGCAAGAGCAAACAAATTCAAAAGCTAGCAGAAGACAAGAAATAACTAAGATCAGAGTAGAACTGAAGGAGATAAAGACACAAAAAACTCTTAAAAAAAAAAAATCAATGAAACCAGGAGCTGTTTTTTTTTTAAAGATCAACAAAATAGATAAGACTGCTAGCCAGACTAATAAAGAAAAGAGAGAAGAATCAAATAGACAAAATAAAAAACGATAAAGGGGAGATCACCACTGATCCCACGGAAATACAAACTACCATCAGAGAATACTATAAACACCTCAATGCAAATAAACTAGAAAATCTAGAAGAAATGGATGAATGCATGGGCACATACACTCTCCTAAGACTAAACCAGGAAGACGTCAAATCCATGAATAGATCAATAACAAGTTCTGAAATAGAGACAGTAATTAATAGCCTACCAACAAAAAATGCCCAGGACCCTATGTATTCAGTCAAATTCTACCAGAGGTACAAAGAGGAGGCAGTATCATTCCTTCTGAAACTATTCCAAACAATAGAAAAAGAGGGACTCCTACCTAACTCATTTCATGAGGCCAGCATCATCCTGATACCAAAACCTGGCAGAGACACCACCAAAAAAGAAAATTTCAGGCCAATATCCCTGATGAACATTGATGCGAAAATCCTCAATAAAATACTGGCCAACCGAATCCAGCAGCACATTAAAAATCTTATCCACCAAGATCAAGTCGGCTTCATCCCTGCGAGGCAAGACTGGTTCAACACACACAAATCAATAAATGTAATCCATCACATAAAAAGAACCAATGACCAAAACCACAATTATCTCAATGGATGCAAAAAAAGGCCTTTGATAAAATTCAACACCCTTCATGCTAAAAACACTCAATAAACTAGGTATTGGTGGAACATATCTCAAAATAATAAGAGCTATTCATGACAAACCCACAGCCAGTATCATACTGAATGGGCAAAAGCTGGAAGCGTTCCCTTTGAAAACCATCACAAGACAAGGATGCCCCCTCTCAGCACTCCTATTCAACATAGTATTGGAAGTTCTGGTTAGGTGAATCAGGAAAGAGAAAGAAATAAAGGGTATTCAAATAGGAAAAGAGGAAGTCAAATTGTCTCTGTTTGCAGATGGCATGATTGTATATTTAGAAAACCCCATCGTCTCAGCCCAAATCTCCTTAA